TCTGATTGATAAACGAAACATGATTTTTTTTATTTTATTTTTGTCATAAAAGATTTCATCGATTAGTTACTCTCCATTAAAGAAGAAAACATTTACAAACCATGAAAACAAAGCCATCAAGGCTAACAAAGACAATGCTACAAAAGCAAAGCATTAAGCATTAGGAAAATAGATGGATACGAGTCAGATGCTTGAACAACTAAGGTCGTGGAAGACTTCGTCGAAGAATTCGACGCTATTGTTGCTAAGAAGTAAGACGACTCTTCGGGGATCATTGAGCACACATAGTGATCTAATGCCCGAGATTGAAACTGCCACTAAGACAACATATACAATCGAGATGTAGGCTACAAATGCAGAGAAAAACTAATTTGTTGAGCCATTGAACAAGGTGAGAATTGAAGCATTTGAAGACTTCGACACAATCCCTACAGTGAGACAACTCACACAAAATGGAAACCTTAGAAAGAGAACATTCTTCGTATCAAAGAAATCAAGATAATAAATATCCAAATAAACAAGATTCTCAACCATCATAGAACACAACCTGAATAAAGCAGTAAGGGATCGCACTAAGGCGAGAGGTGTATCAACCATAAGGACTAGACACGCGCTAGTAAAAGCCTCAAGGCGAGATAAGATTGAATCACACCGTTTGTGATCAGAGAAATCCACAGCTAGCAACGGAACCAAACTAGGGATATCAACCAACACATATTCGGTCCCTACAACTACAAGACAAGTTTTTGCTAGCAAGACTGTGTTAGTTGAGAAAAAAAGTTGAAGCATGTCTAAATTAGGATGAATGATTCTAGCGAAAATATGTAGAGAATCCGCAAGTGAGAACATAAAAAGTGGTTCACAACTCCAACAAGAAGGATTGTCACAACATATATCTATCTTTAGATCTCAATTACAAGCAAGAGACAATGAACACAAGAAGCAATAGTCGAACTTGGTCGAACGGTGCTTACAAGTAATCTCCCGAGAGAGATCGATATTTTGATCAACGGTGCTTGCAAATATCTCAGTTAAACAAAACGTACTATAATTTGTCTGATCAATATTTTTACAATCATTTTTTTTGGGAAACCGAAATGAATATTGATGAAGACATACAAGTTAAGGATTTGTGCAAAAGAAGATGTTTTTTATATGCTATAACGGTCTATTTGTTTTTGCACATAACATTGTATATGTACAACAATTTGCTATAAATGCTTAGTTTTCTAACTTAGATAATTATTTACTATAAACACCAAATTTATATAACATTAAATACACAAATAATCAATACATTATAAATTACTGCATATTTTATCATGTTAATTTTCAAATCCAATCACTATTTTTATTTATGT